CTGTACTTGTCTAAAAAAAATAAAAATAAAAGAGAGCCAGAGAGGGCGAGAAAGAGGAGAGAGAGAGAGAGAGAGAGGGAGGGAGGGAGGGAGGGATATTTTCAAATTTTAGTCAGAGATTTCAGAATCTCTTATTTGGAGTCATAGCCTATTTTTTCCATATCAGATAATTGAATATCAAATATTTGTTTTTCTCTAAAGTGGTTAAATCAAAACAGTTTATGACAAACAGAACATGCTATTTATCCCGTTACAACTATAGCACACCCTAACTATGCAGATGGGCTGACCTAACAATGTTGATTGAGCAATATAAGCATAGGTGTGTTTATTAAAAATAGGTGTATGTATGTATGTATGTATGTGTGTGTGTGTGTGTGTGTGTATGTATGTATGTATGTATGTATGTATGTATGTATGTTGTGAAGTTACACTGATTTACCCATTGTCCATATTGTATCTATGATGAAGTTATTCTCATCTATATAGGAACATTTGTATTTTTAAATTCAAAATAAATGATTTATTTAAAAGCCAATGCTACTTTTTATTTCTAAAATTGGAATTTTCTTGAATTTCTTACCAAAAGCTTACAGGTCCTTCTTTAAAAAAAAATTCTGGAATGTAAAATTTTGCTTTTTATGTCATAAGATTTCCATTTCTCAATAAATTTACACCCTTATACTGAACTTATATGCATCCACATGTCTGTGGAAGTGAAGATAAAAAATAATTTGAAGACTGGAGTTACAAGAACAGAGGGCTGGAAAAAAAATCAGTTGATTGCTTTATAAAAGAAATAATGACGTAAGTTTACCTCCTATGACAAAAGTATGCCCAAACTTTTCATATTTATGCATTCATATTGTATCTAGCACTATACATTATTACCATTCACTTTTTGTAAAACTATTGTATAACTCCATCAAATACAAATATTTGTTTTCCCTTATTTTAAAAAAAAACAGTGGTGTGCCTTCTTCTTCATTGTTTTTAAGGAAATCTGAAAGGGAAATAAAATATTTAAATGAGTAAGGGAATAAATATTGTCGTGGTATATTAAAGTAATGGATATATAACAGCAAAGATGCAAAGTTTATTGACTGTTATCCATCTGTCAGTTTTGTGAATGTTCATAATATATCTATGTTTCCATTTTCCATGTACAGATCAGCCAATGCTGACAATCACTTTTGGGAAGCTTCAATTGATGTGTCCAAAGTTTTTATTATTTACCAAACCTGTATGCAATCACCTGTCTTAATGTATCAATATCAACATTCACTTTTAGTTTCTTGCAATAACATATAAATGTTATGGATTCAATTCAACCTCAGAATAGATTCATTCATATGATGAATGCCAAATCTAACTAATTAGCTAGAGTTAAATACAACCAATGTAATTTAATTGTTTTAGTTGAAATTAAGTACAAGAGTACTTGAGACAAAAGAAAAAATACTATCTTAGTAGCATAACTGATTAATGATAAAAACCTATAATGCCTTTTCCAGCTAACTGATATGTTTTGAAAGGAAAGGGTAAAAAAATGGAGAACTCTGGGATCTGTTCACCATGCATAAGTCATGTAATGCATCATCAGCTGAGTTAGATATAACTGGCTAATATAATGATCTCACAGTGGTACAATTGTTAAAATACCGTATATCATACCTTTAAGAGATTCCAAACCTCTATTTGCAATGCATATGTGCTATAAACGAAAGGATTCTTTTCTCTTTCATTTTATCATCCATTCATCGATCTGTTTATGTTGATGGGAGTGTTGTCTGCGCAATCCTGTATTACATGCCTCTTTTACAAAATAAACCCTCAATTCAGAATAAAAAATAAAGCCCAAAATCATGTTCATTTGAATCATACTAATCTTCATGCTGTACTCAATAGAAATATAAATTCAAGGCAGTCCAGCTAGTCATTACCAAAAAATAATACGCATATATACTTACACTCTCTATAAAATGATTTGGTAATGTTGATTAGGAAATTAGTAAGAAACCATTTTCAGCCTAGTGTATGTGTGTGTATTTGTGTGTGTACACACATGTATGAATCCATACATGTCAATGATGGCTGTTTTCAAGTATTTTAGTATTTGTATGCATTTTAGAATGCATTTAAAACAAGTCATATGTAGAAAGGATTGGTTTCACATGAAACAACATTTTTATCAAAATTAAATAGAAATGTGTATACTGTAGCTCATTATTAAGAGTGTGCATGTATACATAGCAATTTTTCCATTCTCCTTGTACCAGTTACTAATGCTGGGCACATTCCATTGAGAAATTCTCTCCCCATGGAGTCAGTTGGAACTAAGCAGGAATAAGATCAGATTGTCTGCATATATTCCAGCTAGAAGAAAGACTTCTCACTCCTTTCCCTTCTGTGATAGAACAGATGAATTCAGACAACATACATTAAGCTTTTTTTCCCCTTGTAAAAATGTAGTCCCAATCCAAATAACATCTTATTTCCCATTCAGCTTGTGCCAGTTTGCAAGTTAAAGGTCAAAGAGCAAAGACATCAAATAGTACACAGTAAGGAAATTCAGACAGCAAAGGTTTTTCTCTTTTTCATGAAGACAATGTTTAACTCAGTCATGACAATCAACAGATCAATGAAGTTCAAGGCAAGCTGTTCATTGTATCAAAAGCTACCTCCCTGGAATCCTAGCTTTCATAAAAAGTCAGGTGTCTGTCTAGTGGGGTGCATTCTTTCTGAACACTTTTCATAAATTTACAGCCTAGTGATTGTAAAAAACTTGTCACTGCAAGAAGCAGCTCCTAAAATCAATAAGAGAGGTCTGTCAGTTGCTGACTTTTCTCTAGGAAAATAATAATAATATATAACCTGCTCTGCAGGTCACATGGAAATGACAATACTGCTGTTAGCATAAAATTACATAAGATGACAAAATGCCAGGTAGTCCCCTGGGTTCTTTCCGTGACTTAGTGCACAGCTAAATGTCAGAGGTCTTGCCAATCCTTTGAGAACCAAGATGAATACCAAATGACCACATTTTGTGAAGAGGGGGGAAGATGAAACAGCAGCCAAGCAGTATCAGATGTTGCTTTCTCTTCTCCTTGATAGGGTTAACTATGCCTATAAGTGTCCATATTCAAAAGCAAGTTCTGTACTCATGCAGAATAGTATTTTTAAAAAAAATAAAATAAAAAGACAAGCTCTTTTAAAAATAAAAATGAAGCCAATTGCTACATAGAAGAGTTATGTCTAGTTCCACAATTAAACCCCATTTTCCTATTGTTCTTAAGCTGGAGAAGGACCAACGCTTTCATGAAAGCTGAAGGTAGTATGATAGAGGGACTGTTTCCAGCAGCGTCTCTTTCTCTTCTATTCATCCACATTATACTGCTGTCATTTCTAATCAACAGAGCTCAGGACAAAAACAAGCCCCACAAAACTAGGGAGCAGAGACAATGTAATCCATAGGTAGTATTGCCTCATGCTAGCATACGGTGTTTGAATTGCTGCAAATTATATGTATCTGTCTCCAGCCAAACTGCAGCCAAGTGTTTAATTCTACCCATTGTGGTTCACAAAGGTACGATGGATGGCCCTCCAAGCACAGTACCAAAGAAAAGGTCACTTGCATGATAAGAACGTAATGCCACTCATCAAGTGCTCTGCCATGTTTTCTGGCAGAATTTTTTTTAAAAAACAGTTCGCACACCCACTTTTCAAGAGTGTAAGGGAAGCTCATTATTTGTCAATGGGACCCATGGGGTCTACCAATAATGAGATCAATAGTGTTGGGAGAAAAAGAGCAGCAGAGAGACATGGGAGACTGATAAAATGGCTTGGCATAGCACCAGCTGAAGACAAGGAGGCAATGTTGAAGAACTGTCTCTACACATTGGGTATGGCAAATTTAAAATAAATAAATAAACCCAGAAATCAATTGGAAAATCCATGGTAACCTTTTATTGTATTATCCCCAATGGGGCTATTTACTAGAAATAGCCACATTCTTATTTCTGCGTTCTGTCTAGTATTGCGATGGACTGATTCAATCCCAGGCCTAATAACTGACTTCCATTATCTGCAAATCCACTTGACCACTGCCAAACCCATTCTGGCTTCCTCTTCATTATGCTACTATGGGGTAACATAAGAAAATGTGTCCTGTAAACACACTAGAAACAACAGTGATAGGAGAAGGTAGCAATGGCATTGAAGGCTCTGTAGATCTGATTTATGAGTTATAGAGTGTTACCTTTAAGTAAAAGCAGAATCTGTGTACTATTACCATTTCAATCAATATTATTTTCCACTCTGAAAACTGGCCTGATAGTTCTCAAAGAAACACTGATTATATAAAGTTAGCACTAGTCTTACATTTCTCAGTAACTTTTAATGTTATTTGATTGCATTTTTAATTCTGGATTTTGCTGTTTTCTAGTCTGGTTTCAAAATAAGGTTTCTGAGAAGCTTATGGAAAGCCTGGGACCAAGTCGCCTGATACAATTCTGGAGAAAAGAGGAAGTGGACTGGCGAGAAACCAATAAGTGCTAAACCAATCAGTAAAAAGGATACTCTCTGAATATAGTAATGAATATAAATGTGTGAAAACATTGAGGACATATCTCTGAACAATTGTATAAAACACAAAATGAATATATTATTAAGGCTGTTACTATATTGCAGATATTTTGGCCCCTTGTTTGTTGGAAAATGGCTGTCCAAACAGTCAGAATTCCTGTGTGTCATCCTGATCTCCCACTTGATAAAAATTATATGTAGGAGTATAGGACTATATCTGTAGCTGACAGAAAGTAATCCTCTTTGGAGACAAAGCTGTTTTGGATCTTCACACTTCCTGAAAGTTCCATTGTGATTGTTGTGTTTTAGTTATTCTATCTTTTCTCTTTAAAAATGCTTATATGGTTTCTTTTCTTTTTTTTAACCTCACACAAAATTCTTTCAAAGTGAAAAAGAAAGAGAAATAAAGAAAGGAAAGAAAGGAAAGAAAGGAAGAAAGAAAGAAAGAAAGAAAGAAAGAAAGAAAGAAAGAAAGAAAGACCGACCCAACTGGGATGCCAGAGATTCTTCTTTTTTTTCCATGTTGTTCTTTTTTTATGAATATCCTGATTGTTTTGCATTGGGTATATTGAGCGTGCAGAGGAAAGGCTGGAACTGAATGACAAAGACAGACGAAGGACTGGAGAAACGGCAGGTACTGCGTACGACTGAAGCTTCCTACTGGAGAAAATTCTCACTCTTGTGCAGGACAAGCAGCCCCCTGGAATTTAAAGATCATCCCTGGCTGAGACAGACACAGGCCTGCTCCTTGATAGGAAACTCCGTAACAGCTCTTTTGTTGGATTTCATGTTACCACTACTCCTGGGAGAAAAGAAGAAGAAAAAATATCCCTACATCACACCCACTCTTGCATAGAGCGTTTGCAGTAAAGTATGTGGCGGGGTGTTCCTTTCCTCTTGAACTGGAACACAGTGTAAACCAATACAAGGAGGCACAGGGCCAGTATGCAAGGAATGACAATGGCTATAGCTTTCACAGTGCTGGCTGTGTTGTCCAGTTTGATGACAATGTCTACATCATCTTGAGGGCTGTGTCGGTCTTTGTCCCGGTCTGCTGGTCCATCACAGCCCATAAAATCCTTGAGGATAGATCTAGGATATCCCGGTTCCACCCGGAGCATTTGATTGTTGAATTTCCAGTATTCTTTGCCTTTGTAGAAATATGTAAAGCCTATTTGGAAACAAATATTGAATTATTTCAATGGATTGATATTTGGACATCTCTCAGTAAAAGAACCTAATGCAAGTGAGAATGCAACTGCAATTTGCAAATGAATACAAGAACTCTGCACTTAGTCAAAATAGCATCCTGATTCTATACACTAACTTTAGAATAGATTGCTATGCAATTTTATGAAACATTTTTTCCATAAAACAAATCTTCCATTTCCATAAAATTAGACTGTTTGTGCACCAATCAACAATTCTGGTTGAGTCATGCCCTGAAGTCTAATTTGTTCAATGTGATTGAAGAATTAAGTTTTAAATACAGTTTCAAATTGACATTTGAAAATAACTTGAGTCCGATTTGCTCAAGGAGCAAAGGAATATTGGTTAGTTGTTGCAAATTATAACAGTGAGTTAAATTGCTCCCACCCTCCTGAATATCTTCCCTGTTGCATCATCATCTTTAAAATGAACTCTGAAACATAAAACAGGTGTACACAGCTTCCTATCTTCAGGAGGGAGTTAGAATTTGATCATTCAAAAGCAAACCAGGACAATTACAGGATGCTAATTGCAGAAATCAACCTCTCTGCCAAAAAAAATGTAAAGATTTTACTGTCTCAGCTGAAAAATGGTATCAATCCAATAAAAACTTTCACAATGGGTATATAATCTCCTGTTATTTATCAACTGCATGCAAACAATTGGGAGTTTTACTCAGTTTTATAACTTTGCCTCTCACAGTGTGAGAGATAGTAAAAAAATAAGTAGAATTAATTTGGAAAAATCACAAAAATGCATTCCAATAATATAACAAACATATAAACAATAAGCTTTGTCTTTGAATGACAAAGAGCACAAATCTTTATTTTTTTTAAAATCACTTATTTCCTTATTCCAGGAGTGACAAACTGGCAGCCTATTTTGCTTTCCAGTTCAAATTTCTATGACAAGAATGTAAAAACAACTTGGCTTGGCCATTTATTAATTTTCATTATCTTTCTAAAAATTAAATGCATGTGAAGCTGCTTTGAAATAATTTTATTTTGATGCCAATAGACACAATCTTTCCCCCATTTTTAAATGTGCTTACTAGCTTGGGTGGAATGACAAGGCTTTAAATGAGTGGTAGGAGAAAGAAAATATGTACCTTGACATATTCTGCAAGTTTTAAGTTTCTGCAGTTTCCAAATTGTTTAAGAATAAGTTCCACTGAAATCAAAGAAGCTTCTTTCAAAGAATATTTTCAATATTTCATTTGAATGCAAAAATACTTTGGGTGACTGGGGTAATGGAATATCTGTTTTAATGTAAAAGCTCAAAACTGTTTTGTTTTACCACTGTGGAAGGACTATGAGCTGCTACTAGGAGTTTCCATGGATAGTTTCCATTATCCTTCCATAAATCTTTTATTATGAATGCAAGTTCATTTATCGACTTACTAATTAGCTTAATAATATGCATTATTTTGACACAATCTATCTTGTTTGGATTATTTGCTTGGATTGTTCTACTCTGAATAATCATTACTATCATTACCCTATACTTTTGAACAATTACTATTATGCTGTGATATTAGACAATGCACTTGGAATCTTGCTGAACAATATATGTTTGTTATATCCATGAAGGTGATCTAATGCAGCAAAATAATAACATCATGATGATTTTTGGGTTACTATAAGCAAACTCCCTCAGAGTCTGTCACGTATGTCCTACAAAAGCTAAGATCCTACTGGTGAGGATAAAATTCTTATTTTGGAGCAACATAATTTTCTTAAGCTGTCGGACAACATTCCTTTGCACTGATTCCCCAAACACCTTATCCTCCTTGACCTCTTAGTTGCTTCTTTTTTACTCTCCCTTGTTCAGCTCCCATCACAGCGTAGGTGTCTATGAGTCAGTCTTCAGCTGTTTGCAATAGGAGCAATACTTCCTCTCTCTTCATTCTGGTTAGTATGTTCAAAATCTGTTTTTGGCAGTTTACTATTCTTTTTCATATCTGAAGTTGGATCCTGGTTAGCCATTCCTTCAACAGGATAGAGTGGGATTGGGAGAACCATCTTTCCTTAAGGAAAATGGGAAAGTGATTTGTTTTTCCAGCTCTGCAATGCATCTCCCAATGTTGAGAGGAAACTCTACCTTCAATTGCACCGCGCTTGCTGCTTCAAGGAGGCTGTAGGCTTTTATTCCCAGTGAGCTCAATGCAGCTGTTATTTTCCCTTACAGTACTTTCAGTGTAGCCAAAATCATTGGGGTGGAGAAGTTAAAGCTTCCCTGGTGATTGTAAAATGCAGCAAAGTTTGGATATTTAACGAAGTAATGTGCTGTTGGATGATTAGCACACTAAATAGAGAATTTGTACTGAATACTCCCAGGGATTAGGAAAACAGATGAGAATGATGCCACAGCACATGATGATTTAGCAAAGGATATGGTATAATACATAGGAGACATGGAGAACTGGAAACAGAAGTGTGTGTGCCTCATTTGGATAGCAACTCCAGTTTCTTACATAGTTTAACCCCACACTGTAGTCCTACATTCTGCTGAAACCTAGGAGAAATCTAGTTTTCTTGAAATTATTTTTTGTTTTTATGCATTGTACACAAAAAAATGCACATGTATTGTTTAAAGAGAATAAAATTGACTGTGCTAATAAAAAACACTGCTAGCATTTTTATATATTAGCAAAAAGCTTTTAAGGTAGAACAAGATCTATGAGTTAAATAGCTTAAATCTGAACATAGTCTTCTACTTCTCAGTTGGCATGTTTTCCGGCTTCCTTTCAGCCCCCTCCAACTTTCCCCTCATCCAAATGATTGAGAGCCAAAAAGATTAATGTAAGTTGCTAAACTAAAAGCAGGTTGTCTGAACCTTTTCCCCCTAAAGCGATAGGATACAGTTTCAAGTGAAATCTCTGAAGAGGAGAAGGAAATGACTTCAGGCAAAGTTTAATCACAGTTCTGTGAAACTAGGTATGGTGTTTCTCCTGTGTAACCTTGCTTGCTATGCTTGCTTAAGCTTAATGCAATAGCCAATACAATCCTGCTTTTAGGGTACAATCCGCAGCACATTTTTGGTGGGCTTCAGCAGATAACTTGTTTCTTTCTTATTCTATGAGAATCCAAAGCATTTCCTAAGTTTATCTTTTAAAAACCCCCCCCCCCCCCAAAAAAAAAAAATATGCTTTCTTTTTAGTTTTAT